TCGGTTTTAGCATTTAGTTATGAAATTCATTCTCCACTCTATCTGTTAGATGGAGCAAGGTTGGTAAGGATTTCGGTTAGAACGAACCTGCAAATTTCCCAGTTAGAAAGGTTGACATATAGGATAGGTTTGTTTACCACATTGTCAGGCACAACCTCGGAGGCTTCGAGATTAGGGTAAGACTTAGTTTCTCTCAAGGTTGGTTAGATATAATGTTTGGGGTATCGTATCATCGTCGAATCAAATATGTGAGTCTTGCTCAGCATGGTTGAGGTATGGTTGGCTCTATCTGTCTAGAAGTCAGACATGGTTTCAGAGTCCTAAACTTATGGTTAAGGAAGTTAGTAAAAGAAGTACCTGAAGGAAATGGTTAAATTTCTTAGACCTAGTAAAAAAACACTTCATTAATTATTTTGTAAGATATACAAAATATGGTCCCAAAAATTTTGAATTTTAAATTAATGAATAAACAACATTTATCAAAACATCCAATCATATTCATAAATCATAGTATCCATATCAAATCATCATAGTAAACATCCCACGCTAAACATCATGGTGTGTGCAATGCAGTCATCCCGAGCTCTTCCCTTTTCAACTGGAATTACCTGAAACCAAAACTGAAAATCGTAAGCACGAAGCTTAGTGAGTTCCTCAAGCTACCCCATACCATAGAATACCACATATTGGGCCCCCGCCTGTCCTCGGGCCCCGCCCGGCATCAGGCCCCGTCTGGCATCGAGCCCCGATCAGTATACAGATCTGTTCATCCTAGGCCTCGCCTGTCACTGGGCCTCGCCCTATATACACATACAATCAATATCACATAATCATGTTATCACATAAAGAATCATACATAATACTATATGTTCCAGTCTTAAGGCCTTACCTATCATGGTCCCCGCCCCTACTCTGCTAATGATGAGATATGGAACTCTGTCCACACTCAACTAGTGATGAGATACAGGACCCCGCCCACACTTACCTCCTTAACTAGGAACATACAAGTATCACACAGATATCAAGTACACCTAAACATGCACATAGACACCGGGTACCACCCGACATCGAACCGCAGTCCGGAAACACACATATAACATTCATCGGGCACCGCCCGACATTGGACCTTAGTCTAGAACACATACAATGATAAATACAGGCTGACATTGGTGCCTTTGACTTGTTCAAACAGGAGGAAACTCACCTCAAACGTTGAAGCTCACTGCAAGAAATCCCTAGTTGCAGCCGTGTCGACTCCCCGAGTTATCTATATCAAATATCACCCGATTAACAATTAGGTTCCATACCATGATCCATAATCATTACTTGGGGTGAAATGACAGTTTCACCCCTAGCCCAACAAGACTCACAACCAAGGCCCAAGCCCAAAACCATAAAAATCCATAAAAGCCCATCAATGGCCCAATTTTCCAAATTGGGCCAACCCCTTACATGGAACAACCCTTTAGAAATCATTCCATACTTCATAACCCTCCAGGGTTCAACCTTGGTCAAATTCAAGTCAAGTTCAAAGTCAACACCCAAGGCAAAGTCAAACTCAACACATCGAGTTGACTCAACTCGTCGAGTTATCCTTCAACTCGCGAGTTGCTTTCTTTTCATCAGGATCGGGACAATCCCAACCCAACTCGCCGAGTTCCCCCATGAACTCGTCGAGTTCTTCCATCTGCCAAACTCAATTAATGCTTTAAGTCATTATTCTTTAAATCCAAGCTCCGTATCCCAGATCTAGACTGGGAATGCACCTAGAAGGGTAAAGTTTCAAACTTTACCCATTAAAACCCACTCTAATAGAAGTAAGCTCAAACCCTAAACCTAAAAGGCTTAAGTCTTAATCTAAAGACCACCAAATCTTCGAGATAGAGCATATAAACATAGATTTGGACCTTAGAGACTAAGGGTAACGTCTTCAACTTTATCTGCATGCATGGTCATTTGAAGCTTAAATGGACAAAAGCAAGAGCTTATAGGTTGCATGGAGCTTCTAGACCATAAAGTTGGCACCTTTATGCCATAAAAGCCCCTCAAGACCCTAAATCTGAAGGGGTTTGCCCATATGGGACGTCCAACTCCCAACAACCGTTCCATTTGGACCAAAACAAGCAAAAGAGCCCTAAGAATAAGATATATGCATTCATAAAGCAAGGTTAAGCCTTTTACCATAAATGTGTCGAGATTGCAACAAGGAATCAAAATCTAATAGCTCATTCTTGTATCACCAAGCTCCCCTTTCTTCCAATGGCTTTAAACACCCACAAAGTACTCAAATTAGCTCACAAACACTCAAAAAATGCATTAGGGTTTCGAGGTTAGGGTTTAGGGCAGTGGAGGCTGGAAATGAGGCCAACTCATGGGGTTAAAGTTGTTTAAATAGGGTGCAAAATCCCGAATTTAGGGTTTCCCAAACCCCGTCCAACTCATCGTGTTGGTCCTTCTTAACTCGTCGAGTTGGTTTTTTAAATTCCTGCATGCCAAATTATTCCAACACGTCGAGTTTTCCCCCTTGAACTCGACGAGTTGGCCTCTTAAATGAAGATTATATTTCCTTAATTAGCTTTGTAGATTTCCGATGTTAAATAAATAACCTCCTACGTATTCTTCCTACCAATCATCATAACATTTTTAAATGATGATAAGTGTAATAAAAATTTGTTAATTTTAGGAAAAACTTCATAAATGGTCCATGTGCTTTGCATAAATCTGGTATATAGTCCCTAAATTCAAAAAACATCATAGAACATCCTTGTGGTTTCAAAAATTTTAACAAACAGTCTCTCACCCAGATAAAGACTTATATACCCTTTTGAATATATTTTTGATTTTCTTGATTTAAATCTAATTAAAAAAAATAAAAGAAAATAAATAAAACCCCACCTTATGTCTCTCTCTCTCTCTCTCTCTCTCTCTCAAGCACAGACAATCAAAAACACACACTCCCCTTCCACCTGTTTTCCTCCCTGTAACCAAAACCCACCAACAACCACCTTCCTTTCTCTTCCTCTGAGCATATCAATTTTGTTTTCAAAATGCTTGATATTGTAGAAGGTAGCTTGAAGGGAACAAATGAGGTCTATGGTGGCGGCGGATCCATCAGAGCAAAAGAAAGTTGAGGGCTAGGGTTCAACTTCACTAACATCCTTATTCTTTTAAATCGGCTTTTACTTCTTTCGATCTATGCCATCCACGAACCTGGACACAAGTATTATCGTATTTGGGGCAAAAATCCATTGAATTTCGATCTATGATGACTTCTGCTTCTTTACATACCCAAATTTATTGTCCCTAAAATCAGTAAGGTGAGAATCATCATATGTGGCATTGATTTCAGGTACGATTTTGATTATAAGGTTCGGTTCTGAGCTTTGATTTCAAATATTATTTTGGTATGGTTTTGAGCTTTAGTTTCAGCTTTGATAGCTTGATTTCATATTTGGTTATGAGCATTGATTTCATTTACTAAGAAGGGAGCATGATCAGCAAGTAGAGTGGGGTTCAACCAAGATCTACCCTTTTCTTTCCCCTTCACACAGGTCCAAGAAAAATGAGAAAAGATGAATTGGATGTATCAGATGATGAATTGGGTGTATTGAGAGCATCATCGGGGTTTTGGAAGACCTGTTGATTCCTCCTCGAATTCCCAGAAAATGGTTGTTCTTTATGGGAATTTATGATTCATATGTTGGTGTTGTGAGGATGGTGATGAAGAAGAAGGTAGAATCTTGGATTAGATTGGATGATGACGATGACCCGTATGAGAAATGATATGGGAAACAGTTTGGCCATGGTAGTTTATAGGTTTTTATGTATATTAACATGGAAAGAAACAGATGAATGGAGAGAGAGAGAGAGAGAGAGAGAGAGAGAGAGATGGTCAATTCATGTATTTAATAATAATAATAATATACTATTAAAAAGAAATAATGAAAAATGAAAAATAATATATATAAAGGGTAATAAAGTCATTTTAATTTTCGAAATGGACTAAGGGACTGTTTGGCAAAACTTATTTAAAAAGATTTATGACTTTTTGACTTATAACTTATTTGGTGAAATAAAGAGTTTTTAATAAGTAAGGAGTAGGTTATTTATTATTTTTTGACTTATTAGTGGTTACCAATGGTTATAAATTATTTTTTACCCATACACTTTTTTTGGTTTATACCGTAATAAGTCAAAAAACTCATTTTTTAAGCTTTGTCAAATACCCTCTAAGGGGGTGTTTGGCTTAGCTTTTCAAACCCCAAAAATTCTTTTTGGAAAAGTTACAAAAAATCATGATTTCCTGACTTTTCCAAAAAGTTCATTTTCCTTATGTAAAAACTTCAAAAGTAACTTCTAAAACTAGTTTGCCAAACATCTTTTGCTTTTTTTCTTTTCCAAAAAGAACTTTTGGCTTTGAAAAGCTAAGTCAAACACCCCCTAAATCTACACCGAAACAAGTTACAATAACAGTTTGGTAAAAATTTTGAAACCACATGGATAATTTATGAGGTTTTTTGAACTTTATATGCCAGATTTCTAGAAAACATATGAACCATTTATAAAGTTTTCTCTTAATTTTATTAAATATATGATAAGTATCACTGTATAGAAAAATGGTACAAGAAAAAAAATAAAAGGATATTAGATTTCTCCTTTATAAAACTTGTCCAATATTGAAGTTTGTATGTATGTGGGCAAATGTACAATAAATTATCCGAACTAAAAAGACAAGTTCCTCACAGTTTATATCCTCATAAAGCACATAAAATACTTAAAAAGACTAAATGAGCAAATGTTCAAAACATTAGAGGGCTAATGTGTCATTTTCCATTGAAAAAATTATGTATTTTGATTTATGTTTGTAAGATATCATAAAATGATGGAATGCATGTTTGTATTTTGGTCCTCGTCTCATGGAGATTGGTATTGTGAATTGGACAAGAAAGATAAAGGGAATGAAGCTACAAATCAATTCAAACTCATTTGGAATATGGATTGTAATAAACAGATAAAAAACAAGTTAGAATATAAGGAATCAAAGTACATGAATTTAAGTAAAGGTTGGGTTAACTCGTAACATTTTTATAGTTTTCACAAAGCTGCGATGAATCTCTGGATTTTGGCCTGTGCTTTCTCTTTCTCATCTGGGCCATCAAGATCACCGATGTTGTCATGATATTCCTATTTCATTAAACACACAATTATTTAAAACCTAATTTTTCTTTTCATAATTTATAATTTACTAATATTATATTAATATACCTGTAGAACATTCTTGACGTCTGTTTTAGTCAACTTTTGTTGCTTAACTAGTAATTCAATTCTTACCTTTATCCGAGGATGCCTACAAATATTAATTATACTCGAAATCAACAAATGTTTTATCAAGAAAACCTTCAAAAAAAATCCAAGATACTTACTTGGATGTCCAAAGATGACCCAAAATAACTGCAATTAACTGTCCACAAAGAAAAGAGATTAGCATGAGATTTTATTATCTCTAATTTTTTTATTTTTATTAAGTGAAATATTGTATAGATTATAAAAGAAGTCATTACCTGAAGAGAATAGAGTCCAGATTCTAGCTTCCGATTGTATTTTTCATCTTCATCCATCTGCAAGATTATAAAATAATAATAATTATTAGTTCCATGATTGCCAAAAGATGCAAGAAAATAAATATATAAAAAAGTAAACCTCAAGATCATCAAGTTCAAGATCATTCAGCCTTTCGGATTCTTCTTTCACTCTGTTTGAATATCTATAGAAAATAAAAACAAATGATTTGAGTATATACATGATACTAATGTATTTTTGTAAAAGAAAAATGAGAGAAAATGAAATACCTAATATAAAGCTCCATTAGCCTGTCTATCTTTTCATACTCATTTTCCACAAATTTACTGAGTAATCTTTCCCTTCTTGAACCCCTCAAAACTCCACCTGTTAATGCATATATCATCCAAATCAAAGGCCAAGATTTTGATAATTCATGTTGAACAAAAGAATTGTACCACAGAGATTAAAGTAAAAATGACAGAAAATTAAAATCTTGAAAAACAGTTACTCAAAGGTATAAATAAACATAAAAGATCAAAGTTCACTTGCCTTCTTACCAAAAAGTGAAGCAACCAATGATATAAGCCGTTCCTCCAATTCTTCTTTAGATCTCTTCTTGTTTTTGGTTGTTAGAATCTGAAGTAAAATCAACTCAAGGTTATGATCTATAAAATCTAAACATGAAAGAGTATACTAGAAATGCACAAGGAAGGAGAGAATTTAAGAACTTATAGATTATTAGATAAAACGTTCACTTGTACTACAAGAATAACCGGCAATAGCAGCGACGGAGACTTTTAGCGGCGACAAAAAACAAACGCGTTTTCCGCTAAAAGCCTGGGTAGCCGCTAAAGGCGTTGCCGCTAAAGACTTATTTTGGCGATCCGTGTAATTTCAATCTCATCCGTCGATTTAAGAGATGATCCTACGACTAGAATGACATAAGAAATCTCGCGTTGTTTTCCCTCCGGTGTGTCGCCGCTAAAGAGTGCGTGTCGCCGCTAAAAGCTTATCTTGGCAATTCGCATAATTTTAATCTCATCAGGTTGATTTAAGAGATGATCCAATGACGTAGAAAACCCCACGTTGTTTTCCCTCCCATGTGTCGCCGCTAAAGACTACGCGTCGCCACTAAAGGCCATCAACAATAAAACCCCCCGATCTGCTCCATTTTTCTGTGTTCTCCCTTCTTTCTCACTATTATCGTCGACCTTATTGGAATTTGACAAAGAACTTCGCAATTTCACCCATCTTTGCTCCATTTTTCTCCTTTTCCTTTCCTTTTCACTTCTCCTTACTAAATTTCTAGCATTGATGTGTATTTATATGTTTATTTTGTGTTTGTAGATATGGATGTGTATTTGTATGTATATGTGTATGTGTATTTTGAATGTATTTTATGTATGTATATGTGTTTTTGTATGTACAATCCTATGTATATATGTATTGTTATGTATATGTATGTGTATTATGTATGTGTATGTATTTTCGTATGTATATGTGTATTATGTATGTGTATGTATTTTCGTATGTATATGTGAATTTTTTATGTGTATTATATGTGTATATGTGTATTTATATGAATAGAAATACATATTAATAGCAGCGACGCCTTTAGTGGCGGCGGCATAACTTTAGCGACGACGTATGGAGCATCAGCGGCGACCAATGGAGCATCAACGACGAGCCAACAGCGACGACCCTTTAGTGGCGACGCATGTCGCTGGTAATACTCTTATTTCTTGTAGTGGTTGTAATAAGGCAATCTTTTCTTATAATTATTTGCAGATGATTGTGAAGAACACAATAGAAATTATAACAAAATATGGAGGTTGCTAGTTGCAGAATGATAAAGCTTTGAAACAAAATCAAAACAACGTTGATATGATACTAGGGAGGGAGATGAACTTGCCTTACCCATGAATGCAGGGAAGCGGTTTTAATCCCCATAAGATCAACAAACTGTTCACAAGCAGGTGGATAATTCGTCATTGCAAAATCAAGAGCTCTAATGGCTGATCCATAACAAAATTTCTTCTAGTTCATGATAATAAACATCAATTCAACCCCTTCAGCATTCAAAAACCTCTCCTTGTTCTCCAATGGCATCAGCAAACAACACAAACAATCAAAGAGATTCTCAACCATCTCCTCCTCATCTAAACTCTTTGGATCCCTCGACTTATACATTGCCACAGCCTGCAACACCACATCCACACCATTCATTTGACCTAACCTCTTCTGATTTGCCACACTGCTTTGAAGCAAAATCGCCAGTATCTCGGAAGCATATTGCTTATTGCTATCACATAATTCCTCTTTATTACTTCAAAACGAGTTACAAAGGTTAACCTAGATTATTACATAATCTTTAGTGTTTAGCCTAGAAACACGGACGTTACAATATGGTAATTCTCACACACCCTTTACATATACTTATACTTGTATATGTCACATTAACATTAGTGAAAGTAACTTGATTTTTTCTTCTAAAATTTAAATTTTAACTTCATTAGTTGTAAAATTATGAATGAAGCGGGAAAGGAAGGCGATGCCTATAAATGTTTGAATTATTTAAATAAATGAGATTTTAACGTATTGAATACATTACATATATAAACTCTTTCTAATAAATATTATATATATATATATATATATATATATATATATATATATATATATATATATTACCTTACATATTAAATGTGGAATTTTAATTTAATAAAATGAAAATTAAATTAAAAATATAATAAAATGATAAAATAACAAATTTAAAATTTTTAGAAAATGACATGTATCCAAATGAAGAAAAGACATGTGATAACTTTATTTATCAAGAAGGATTTACCACCTACTGCTTATAATATATGTAACCTACTATTGATTCTCCCTCTTAAATTTGCGTGTGCGAAGAGACACATATAGCTACTATATAATCTTATTTACCACCTACTACCCATTGTATATGTAACCTGCCATTGATTTTCACTTTGGAAAGTGTTTCTTCGTGTATACAGCTATTCTCATCGTCGGGGTCAACTCCTCCGTCCTTCCATATTCTACTTTCCTTTCATCAGTTTTTTTTTGCCTCTCTAGTTCGTCTCTGTGGGCCGCTGCAATCAGGGTTTCAATCGTGTCTCCCCAGTAATCACTTTTATCTCAGTTTCGATAGTAATCAGGACATCAGATTCAGGTTGGTGCCTTGTTGTTGCTCTTTTCTTATTTTTTTTAATGCATTTTAGTCCATAGTTCTGCTATTGATTCTGGTATTTGTTTGTTAATGATTCGATGTTGCTACTTAAAATGAAACACCAATTTAATTTCTAAGTGGTATTAGCTTGTTGTATTGGATACGTTGCTCTTCTATTATCTTAGTTATTCTTGTGAACATTGACTACATGATATTTCTGAATTACGGAGTTTACAGCTAAGATATAGTTAAATAGCGCTTGGAGTTGCATGTTATCTAAGGAAAATAGCTATTTATTTCTGCTTTCCTATAAGACGATTTGCATAATATTCATTATCCAGACTAGTTACGGTTTTGTTTGTTTGCTGACTTTTAGTATTTATCATAATTATAACTAGTATTTGATATATGACTAAGTTGAGGTGAAGGAATGTTGTAGTTTGAAAACCCGATTAATCTGGTTTCCTGAAAAACTGCATACTGAATGTGATCTGTTCAATGTTATAGGTTTTTCTTTCTCATTCTGTATATCGAAGTTTACATTTTACATATGGAACACTGGAAACAACCATATGCTTTCTACTTTCTAGAGTTTCCTGCTATTTGTAGTGACGCAATATTCTGGCTTATGTTGCAGGGTCCTTAATCTTGAAAGGGTTACAATTTTAGGCCAAGTTTCTGCCAAAGGAGAAGAGTTGGAGGATATGATGCCTGGTAGTTTAATTTCTGCATCGGCATTATCCATAAGTACTTTGTTAATTTCATTTTCAGATAAAGGACTTAAAGACAGGACTTAGGGTTTTTGTATTTTGTTTTTTTTTTCCATATATGTCCTGTAGTAATAAATTCACTGCATCCCAAGTAACATTTGTATCCCAATTAACATTTCTCTTGAAGTCATATATAATCGATTTGAATGCTATGTTTCAGATGATTATGGTGTGCCCTCAAATGACAGGTAATCCATATGACCATCGCCTTGGAAATAAAGATAAAAGTTAGAATTATTTAATTGTTTTGTTTTCCCATTTTAGGCGACACGAAGAAGACTCAAGCAGGGAAAGATGTATTGATTCTGAGATTTGGATCCCCCCTGAACCAGAATACCGAAAGGATGATATTGAGGGTAGTGTTGCTGATGATGCTGGTGGCATGAAATGGGGAAAGCCATGTATTTCAAGCAGCCTTGGAGAAGAATGGAGTTGGAGCTTCAGGTTTAAAGATGAAATGATAGGGAAACTGACTAAGTCTATGAAAGCCGATTTTAAGGAACTTGTAGAGCATCCTCTTATGTCTATGGGAATTTCTTTTTCCGGAAATGATGGTGATACATGGGTGGATACAGTTACAAATTTATCATGGGAAGCTGTCTCATATCTGAAACCAGATGCTTTTTTGGGAAAAGCAGTGGATCCCAATTTATATATCAAAGTCAAATGTATTGCAACAGGTTCTCCAAAGCAAAGGTTGTCTTATTAGTTCCCTTAACTTTTTCTATGCATTAACGTTTGCATGATGATAATCTTCTCGATTGGTTATACGATTTTATGATAGTTTTCAATCAAGAAACAGTTAACTCTGACATCACAAAGACTAACCCTTACTTGCTGAAAATTATATAAATGCTGTCCGGTTAAGTAGAAGCAGCATCACATAGGCAGCAGGAACAGGGTTTTGAATTTAGCTAATCAATTCACTTTGTAATTAGGGTTGTTTCAGGGTTATATTACTCTTTTGGTCAAAAATCAACTAAGTTATGAAAATCCACAAAGGTTGGTCCAGGTTGATGAATAAACCTATGCACAAACAATTGCATATTAACCATCACACATTCCAATTTACCAACAAACAACAACCAAATCCTATATATGATTCTATCTTATATATGCACAAGAGATTTGATTGAATAAAAGACCATGTAAAAAGCTCGTATGTTTGTCGTATTCTTTTGGGTATGTACCTGTTCAACCTCACAATGATATTTGATTCTTTTAAAATTTGGGTTAATTTTTGCAGTAAAGTTTTCCGGGGCTTAGTCTTCAAAAAGCATGCAGCTCACGAACAAATGCCAACAAAATATAGAAATCCAAAGTTGCTATTGATTAGAGGTGTTTCTTCCGATGAATTATCATCGATGGAAGAACAGGTAAACTTAAAGAAAAACTTTAGATTCTGTAACCTCTTATTCGTATATGTGCTATTGCAGGTTAGTATTAAGAGCATCCACAATGGTAAGTTCAATGGGAGAGTTGAATGAGGTGGCAAGTCTATGTGTCATTTAATGAATGTATCATTGTGAGATGTCACCTTGCATTCAATGGATTTGGAGTTCAATGACCATTGAACTCTGCAATGGGAAAAAGGAAATTTTTTAATTCTTAATTATTTACTATAAATTACATTTTGTAAGATTCTATCAAACTTTATGAAGTTCAATGCATTGTGGGAAAAAAATATAAATTGTAGAAAGATAATGTGATAATCCATTGAACTCCATATGGAGTTCAATACATTACGGATGCCCTAAGGAGATAAAGAATCCATAAATGATGTCATAAGTTCAGGTCTACGCATCATCGTGATTTACCTCCCTATGTTGGCTATGGTGGGGTGTTTACCCCTTTGTACTTGTTTTTATTATTGTCTCTAATGCTATGATGTGCTATATGAGCAGGAGAGAGGTATGGAGATGATAGAGAAGCTCAATCCGAACGTGGTCCTTGTTGAGGAAACCATTTCTCATGATATTCAAGAATATATTCTTGGAAAAGGGATGACACTAGTCTTGGGAATGAAACAACACCGTCTGGAGATGATTGCTCGTTGTACCACCTCACCAATATTATCCTTTAATAATCCGCTGAATGTCCAAAAGTTGGGGAAGTGCGAATCATTTTATTTTGAAAAGATTACAGAAAAACATGCTACTCTCGGTGATAATGGAGAAAGGCCTGTGAAGACAATAATGTTTGTTAGGGGTTGTCCTACGCACACAGGATTGACAGTGAGTTTATATTTTGTTAGTCATCTGTATATATAGAAGCACCAATATATATATATATATATATATATATATATATATATATATATATTGGTGCTTCTATATATACAGATTACAGTCTCACCTAAGCTTAGCTACTAAACTTCGAAACTATGTCGTTTTAACTTAGTAAATATATACGGTTCGGTTTTCACTTTGGAAATATATCATCCCATATAATATTTTTGTCTTCCATTATCGCTTAACCATCTCCATTTTCTTTCCTCCATTATGGTTTATTACTTCACTAACATGTACCCAAAAATGAATAATGAGAAAAAAATCTTTTGGAAAAAAAATTTGTTTCCATGAAATCACATTGTGTTTAGGAAGGATATGATTTGTTAGGAAATCACATAGTATTTTATTTTATTTTATTTTTTTGTTTAGGAAAATCATTTGTTAATAAAACGATGTAGTTTCATGAGGTTTTTTACCTAAACTTAGATGAGGCTGTAATATATATATATATATATATATATATATATATATATATATATATATATATATATATATATATATATATATCAGTGGTAAATATCTTCCGCTGTGACACTGACAGATTTTACTCAAGGGACGTCAAGGTGATGAACTTAAAAGGATTAAACGTGTTGTTCAATTTGCGGTTTACATGACATATCATTTGATCCGTAAGAGCCTATACATTGAAAAGGCAGCTGCAACTGGCCCCACTGGAGAGACAATATTTTTAAACTGCAATAAAGACCTTATGGAACATAAGTATGAAATTGTTGCAGTGTTAGGTCTAGCAAGGTATTCTGTCTTGATATCAAGAAGCAATTTGAAAAGAGAGACTGCCTGTTTATCCGATATCAACCTCTACCGAAATTTTGATATGCCCATTGGGAAGTCTATGATGGATGACTTATTCAGTCAGGTTACTTCTTCAATCTGCACATTTTTTATGCTTTAGTGCTTTTGAAAATGATAGTGTGTTTTTTATTTCACCTCAGTATTCTATCTTATCTGTGAAATATATATGGTGGGTGATTTATTCAATCAGTGTACTTACTCCAATATGTTTATTATTTCATTTCATCCCATTACCACCTTGTACTGTGGTTGAAAATTCTACCCTTTAATAGAAATGTCTTGCAATTGTAAAGAAATTGTCACCCCTATTATTAAGTAGATTTTTCAAGGTACATAAGAAAAAAATTAGGTAACATGCTGTAACCGGTTAGATTGATTTTTTGAAGTGCAACGCCATAATAGCAAGGTTTAAAAGTGTTGTAATAAAAAGATGTGAATATAGGATACAGTATATATGTTGCTATTTTTCTTGCATTTAACCCAATACATCAAACATAACTTTGTTGTTTCTTATGCAGAATCTTTTGTGTGGAACATGTAATGAACTACCAGAAGCTCATATTTCCTACTATGCTCATGACAACAAGAAAATCACAGTTCAAGTCCAACGTCTTCCCTCCGATAAGCACTTGCCTGGTGAAAAGGAAGGAAAACTTTGGATGTGGAGTTCTTGTCAAAAATGTAAGGGTAATTTAAACTCTACTAAAAGAGTATTGGTTCCTGTTGCTGTTCGAGGTGTATCCTTTGGAAAGATCATAGACCATGCTTTGTCAAATCGCTATCTATGGTGTATACCATTTAGCTGTGGACATTTCTATTATGGTGACTATTTTCACTTCTACGGGTATGCCACCTCACCTGTCAATAAGTCATGCACTGTTTGATGTGTACTAGGAATTCGAGTTCATAATTATTTTCTAGATGAAAAGGCTAATATAATGATTTTTTTTTGGAGCATGCAGATTAGGCTCCATGATTGTAAGGTTTGAATACTCAACAGTGCCTACTTACTTTGTGTCTCTCCCACCTAGGAAAGTTGAATTTAGCCATTCAATTGAAGGAGATTTTCTGCAAAAAGAAGTTGAGGATGTATGTATATTCAGGAAAAATAACACTTGTATACTTATAACTTTATCGATGTAGCTATTTAACCATTTCCAGTAGTAATCAGACCATTATGCTTATCTTGAGTTTTGAAAAAGAAACCATTTTTTCCTTGTTCCATTTCAGGGACAAGCTGAGAAAAGCACAACCTACTTTCACCGTTTTATCCACTGAGCTAATATCTTATGTCGATTTAGCCACTGAACAATTGTCCTAAATGATAGCAAAAAAAATAAATGTTTACCAGTTAAATCCATAATATACTCTGAGTATGTTGTGTTTTAACCTATATATTAAAACAGGAATATTTGGTGTTTTTAAGCGTACAAAAGTTTCGATGGTTTAACCAAAACAGGGTATAAATGGTCAAGTGACTTATTTCAATAAAATGGTGAAAACACGTTGCACTTTTATGTATTTGTATATTATTTACCGAGTAAATAATTTGATAAAATGTTACTTTTTGGAAGGTGGTCCGAGAAGGGCATTCAATGTTTTCCGAGGTTGAGAACTCTCTGAAGGAGATGGAAAACAAGTTGGTTGGGTCGACGTTGAACCTTGAAGGATCATGTAATGTCAAAGAGATGTTAAAGCAAGAGCAAGATCAATTTCAAGTCAGTTACTTTCTCATGATTCATAGATTTAAATGATATTTCAGTACTCTATTACTTGATTTGGTTCCTATTTTTTGTTTCTTTTGTAGATGATAAATCTTGCTTATAGATATAATGGATGGAGAAACTAAATGAGAACATATTTTAATATCCTTGCATTTTCTAAAAGATAAATCTGAATACGATTCTATACATGAAGTTGAAATCTATACGGAAAAGAGATGGCAAGATATACAAATTTTTAATCCTTAAAGAAAGGTCATCAATTAGGGTTTGTAATAAATGATTGGTTTTAGATATGTTCCATTGAACTATGTAGAGTTCAATGTATTGTATGGAAAAAATGATAAAGTTGTATGAAAAAGAATGATGATATGACAATCTATTAAACAATGTTGCATAGTTTATATTATTATCCTCGACTTTTCTAATCATCCATCTAACACAATAGGTTGACATGACAACAAGCATGAGTGTGAATAAATGGTTATACAAGCCTCTCTACTTGAATCATATACACTGGAAGCTTTCACTACATGCGTACATCTGGGATGAGCGTGTTCGTTGGCTTCAAAATGTGGTGGAAACTCAAACCAGTGTGAAAAAACAATCATGTTTTAAGGAGAAAAAAGTTACCGAGTGTGGTAGTGATGGCGTGCTTTCATTAAAAGCAGCAGATCCTCAGGCATGGATGTGGAGGTCTTTCTTAGAAATACAAGGTATTTATTTGAAGGATCTTCAGAGAGGATACTTGCCAAGGTATGAAACTTCCAGTTATAAGAAAGGATCCATCATATACAAAAGGATTACTGAAGAGGGGTCAAGACTTCATTTTCCATTTGGTACTGACAATAACTATATAGTATCCGATTATGAGGATGAGTTGTCTAGTATCATTGCTTGTGCGTTAGCTTTTCTAAAAGATCGGAGCAACTCATCAGATGTCCCCAATGAGGATGCGACAACGTATCAAAGTTTACACAAGATGTCCTCTTTGAGTTCCCGAAATTGGTGCTGCTTCAGCTTCATGGATTCTGTTGGTCCTCCAGAAAATTCTATTTTTGATGGTTTAGAATGGCCGGATTCTTCAAGTTATCTTCACCCAGTGATCTCTATGGGAAGATTAGCTGACAAACCTAAATATTCAGTAGCTTGTCTATTTCACAAAGATTTTGCTCAACTTCGTAGTGATTGTGGTTTATCAGAGCTCGATTACGTTTCTTCACTAAGCCGTTGTAAGCCCTGGGATGCCAAAGGAGGAAAGAGCAAATCTTTCTTTGCTAAAACACTGGATGATCGCTTCGTTATCAAGGAAATTAACAAGACTGAGTTTTGCTCATTGCAAGAAATTGCTTTGGCCTATCTTGCGCACCTGAAAAAAGGACATCTATCATGCTTTGCAAAATTTCTTGGGTTTTATCAGGTTTTTTTCTCAGTATTTTGCTTTTGCTTTTTTTAATGTTTTTCCCCTTCTGATATAAATGGTTGTAGGTAACAAAATTTACAAGTCGCGAAAAATATGATGTAATGGTGATGGAGAACATTACTTATAGACGAAACATTACTAGACAGTATGATATCAAAGGAGCTCTCTATGGTCGTTTCAATCCTGCTAGGGATGGTGTGGGAGTTGTTCTATTAGACCAAAATTTAGTCGATGACATGCAACATTCTCCTTTGTACGTTGATAGCAGATCATTGTGGGAATTGCACCTTGCCATACAGAACGATACTTCCTTCCTCCACGTGAGTACTTCCTTCTTTTGTTTTCGTTCTCATCTGTAGACAATCCAGAGGGGCGTATATATTGTAAGTTTTATTTTTTTTAATATTTAGTTCATCAATGTGATGGATTATTCCTTGTTGGTTGGAGTGGACGCTGAAAATAAGGAGATTGTATGCGGCATAATCGATTATGTCAGACAATATACGGCTGACAAGAAACTGGAGAACTGGTTCAAGTCCCACTTGAATGTACATAAAAACCATTTGCCGACTATAGCCCCACCAGAAGACTACAAGAAAAGATTCACAAACTTCATCAAACACTCTTTTAATGATCCAGTCTCCGGAAGACTACTTGAGTACAAGAAAGTTCATCAAACACTTTGTAACAGTAAGCGCCCCAAATAAGTAGTACTCATGAATTAATGTATAAGTAGTATATATACCCCCCCCCCAAAAAAAAAAAAAAAGACCTTAAACAATCAATTTATTTCAAACTAAATAAAGTGGCATTTTTGTAACTCTTTTGTAATTTTGAAACCTATTAAGGTATAGTTATAAAACAATGGTTTGAACTCCTCAACTGAAATCAGTAGAGCGCTTGAATTTGTAGATGGCAATGGTGAAAATGATGGAATCAAATCCTTAATCTTGTGTTATGTTAAACATTTGATCGAATCTTCCCATGAATATCGGAACTAATTGAATTGACAAATGCCTTAGGTGGTAACTGTTCGATTACTAAATTGAAGATGAAAGGTACTGCTAGTTGTGGTGAACCATCAAATATTGGTGAAGAAAAGATGAGAGAGAAGACTTTAGATTCTTTAAATGAACAAGCCATGCAAGTTGTGAATCCAATGCCGGTTACAAGGATGTCAATGACAACTATACCCGATGGTGAAGAGCAATCAGATATTGGTGAAAGAAAAGAGGGAGAAAACTCAAGGGGCAAATTTGCAATCAACATGCATAAACATGGTGGTGGATGTCGAAAATTTGATTAACAAGCGGCTGTTTAGTTCTAAATGTGAAAAAAATGTAATTCATTTAATGTTCTTAATGTATTGTTATACATTTTGTGAAAAAATGTAATTCATTTAATGTTCTTAATGTATTGTTATACATTTTGTGAATAATGTCGATTTGTTTTGTATATCGAAGTGACCAAGGCTTTAGAACAAAGAACGAGCAAGTATCACTATGAGTAATTAAGGAAAGGCTCAAGCCAAATTGTCAAATCTTTGCAAACAAGCTCGGTATATATGTCTTCAATCACGAGGAAAAATTAAATAGAAAATTTTCACCAATGATTCGTGCTTAATGTTTATATAAAAATTAATGATTTGAACTTACTGTCTGTTCACATATGAATATGAATAGAAATGTGCAACAAGTTCTTTAAATTATATTTATATTCATATGTATTTAAAGTTATTTTCTATATATACTTGCTTTGAACTAATTGTTTTGTTATGACGTACTGTTTGTTTGGTAAATGATGATACATCTTCATGGTGATCTTTTTTATACCGTTGGTGATGAAATTGACAAAAGGTTAGTATGTTATCCACCCATAACAGTGACGTCAGTATTTGAGACCCAAACAATTTTTTTTGAACCGGCAAACATATATATAAATAAATAAAGAAACCGCCTCTAGCAAGTAACTAGAGACAGGGTTGTACAAAGTTAAGAAGTACAAGAAATGAAACTTAAATACTCAACAACGGAACTAAGCACCATTCATTCCAATTCAAGGACCTACCAAAAGTTCCCTGAAAATTGATCCAAGTGATGACCTACCAAAAGTTCCCCGAAAATTGATCCAAGTGAAAACAAGGGATTTTACCATGTCTGCTACCTTTGCTTGTGATATTTGTTAGTTATTAAATAGTCAATCATTTCTCGCCTTCCAAATGCTCCACAAGGTTCCATAGCAGATAACCAGACGAATGCGCCTTTTCTTGGGACAATTTCCCCATCCAGCGGTGAAGTCAAGAACTTCCATAGTTGTTTGAAATGGCGTGTGATTTATACCACACCATTTTAGGATCCATTCCCACACCTCTCTTGCATACGGACATTTAATCAGTATGTGATCCCCACATTCCTTCTCATGATTAGAATACGTGCAAGCTATGGAGTCCAACCAAACTCCCCTTTTTTGAAGCGCCACAGCCGATGGAAATCTGTCTAGTTTTGCCCTCCACACAAAATATGAAACTTTTGGTGGAACTTCTGTTAACCATTCCATTTTCGAAATGTTGGAAGGGATACATTAGTCACTTCTGCTCCTCAAACAATGTACCGAGTAGAGCCCATCAGGCGCAATTCTACATCTCCACTCCATGATCCCCCCCAATGACAGAATTCCAAGTTTCACTAATTCCTTTTTTGCCCCTACTATGTTTTTCCATATACCTGCAATTCTATTATCTACATAATGATCATCAGGTTTGGATTGGACGTTATGTATGCCTGACACTACTCTACACCAAAGCAGAGATGGATCTGATCTTAATCGCCACCACCATTTTACCATCAATGCTATGTTTGGAGCCCTAATTGATCCCCCTCCTAAACCCCCAAAGGAAGACCTGAACAATTAACCTCAATTAATATAAAATATTACTGTTGTAAAAATCCTGACTAGGTCCCGATTAATCCCTAGGCGCTACTCGACCGATTAGAGGGCGCCCATCGATTAATCCCTACACACATAATGAGTGAAATAGTATAAAAAAGATAAATTTTAACATTTTCAAGAAGTTTTATCTCAGTGGAAACTATTTGAAGCATGATTAGTGTTGTATTAATCATATTAACCTATTTTATTATGATATTATTGGTATTTATGGACTTTGATATAATATTAGTCATATTTAATTTTATAACATTTAGTAAATTAGCAATTAATGGTCCCCGATTAATCTCCGCCTAGCCGATTAATCGCTTAACCCTAGTCCACCGACTAGCTAACGTCGAGCGTTTTTTACAACCTTATTATAAATAGAGGTCTTTTTCCCCGTTTTGTAAAAGAATCACATATATATGTTCTTTTTCAATCTAAAGAGGCCAAGTATTGATATCATCAATTTTACGCAAGAAAGCTAAAGAACAAAACAAGACAAGGAATTAACGTGGTTCGGTCGAAGTGATCTACATCCATACGCAGGAACTGGAAAACTCTTATATTAGTCGATTGTTTCAAAAATGATTACATAGGAATCCCTAGTTATGAATACTATTATATAACCGTAAAACATGTAAATATTAGGCCAATCCCATATAGATTAACAATAAAATGATTGTTTAAAGAATGATTAAATAGGAATCTATAGTTGCGAATACCATTATATAACCATAAAACCCTAGAAAATATAGTCGTGTGCCATGTTTGGAACTGAAGACCAATATGGTACCCTTCTACGAAATTGGCAAGTGCCAAACATAAAGCATATAACATTATTTAAAGTATTGAAACAACTTGCAAATAACCTTTGTTTTTTTTACTTTTGTTCAACATTTGAGGCTTCTAAATTATATGAGATTTATTAGTTAATCGTCTAAGGCTGAAGCTATTTGTGCTCCACATGTGACATCATATAGACTTCTGTCACACCCCAAAACCGGAACGGCGGAAACGTTCAAGGGTGGTGGACGTCATGTTTAGTATCACAAGACATGCATCATAGTAAGCAAAGTAATGAACAACCATTTCATTAGAAAGAAAGTGTTTACAATGTATGTGTTCACAAAACATAGAATACATAAACAAATAACAAAACAAGACTTGGAGCTATACTGCTCCATCTTCTGAATTCCCAACGCGAGTACCTATCTACTAGTTTCCTGAGAATACAAGTTATTTGAAAGAGTTTATCAGCAATTAAGCTGGTGAGTTCATAAGATTTTAGTGATGTAAGTAAGTTGTAGAAATTTGTTGTGAAATGTAATTGAAAAATGTAGTAAGTTGTAAGTTGTAAGCTATGTTTAGAAAAGTTCGTCTGTTCCTCCAGAAAATCCTATATTTCCTGCTTTGATGAAAGATAAGTAAAAATGACTCTACAATCCTTTGTATGAGTACTAAATGGATACAAATTATATAAAACTCAGAGTAAACAAATCATTTGTGTGTATCTGCCCTAAGCCCACAACCAAACAAGGAATAGGGAATGAGGCAGATGACACACATTCCATTGATTGTTAGATCCTTGTTGTATATAACCCTGGTGTATTCCCTTGGTACTCACGGACTTAACTGTAATAGTTCCTTTATAATTTATGAAAAGATTCTTTAAGAAAAGCCTTATTTCTTATGATAAAATAGTAACCACAATAGTTCCTTCTATAATCACTTAGTTTATACTAGCTATATATAATCTAATATCGAACATATAGTTAATTGTGTGAATCTGCCCTAAGCCCACAACCAAACAAGGAATAGGGAATGAGGCAGAAGGCACACATCCAACTTCCTATTGGATATTAATTATATATAATCTTCGATGTATAAACTAAGGTATTATATAGTTAACTACCTAAGGTCTTTTAAAATGATGGTTTAATGAAACGGATTAAACCCTTTACTGGTAAGTTTCTAGTTTTGTATATCCAAAGTTCTGATTTGAAAAGTATGTTTTGTACTAGAAAATTGTGCATTAAATTAGTGTCCTATGACCTGACCGGCTGACCCATACCTGGTACCCCTTATGATGACTTAATGTATACAGAACATATATACAACTACTATCGAATGGATAATAGACTGGGTGAATCCGCTCTAAGCCCACAACCAAACAAGGAACATGAAATGAAGCAGAAAGCACACATCCTATTACCTATCATATATTATTAATATATACCTCTTGATGTATACATTAAGGAATCATAAGGTTAGCATTATGGTCCCTTTCTACTGAATGTACTAGACCTGACTGTTCTGTTTGTCGTTTTGAAAAGATGTAAGTTTTTCCCTAGTTTATAACTATCTCGACTCGAAAATAGTTTGCATTAACTTTCAAGCGGAACTGTCACTTTATGAAAGTAATGGGAAAAATATAAGTACTCAGTTGTCTTATAAATGACAAACTGGACGTACTAAATACCTTAAAACATATTTGTTTTATTAAGGTCATAATGTGATGGCTAGTTCCCATAATATATGCTCTCATTGTCAAAAGAGTCTGGGAACCAAACACGACTTGGCAAACCGGTGGTTGCATCGTGAACATCCACATTAAAGTTATATGATCATGTATACCTAATATAACTATCACCTTTTTGTTTAGAACAATGTGTTAGTGATTCATTGGTATACTTAGATCCTGTACTTGTCCCATGCTATAGCACCTTATTATGTTTGTTCTGTTATAGTATGTTCTTTCAGTTATCGTGTATTGTATCTTCCTCCCTGTTTCTCTTTATTGTGTGTTCTCTTATGTTATCGTGTATAGTATCTAGTATGAACTGACTCTCTAAACTATACCCATTATATTTTACTAGTGTTTAACTTGAACTGTTGTTGAAAAGACTCGTTTTACTACTAAGTTATGCTTGTACTTTAAAATGGAGTTTTGGTTAAACTAAAAAGTAGCATAACTTTAAAAGAGTTTTTGAAATGTTTTGATTACTTATAAAAGAGATAAGTAATCCTTTAAAGGATTTTTAACAAAAAATTACACAATTATAAATTATGTTCAACTTGTATCCCCCCCCCCCCACCCACCCACCCCTTAAAAGCATTTAAAATAGTTTAAAAGATTCATTACGGGGTATGAACTCACTTGATGTGAGTGATTCAAACGGGTATGTGTGTAAGGATGATAAGTTCCATGAATGATGTCCCGAGACTTAACAAGTCCTAAATGACATATATTGACATAAATATAGGGTTTAGAGGTAACCAAAGGCAGGGAAACACCTCACGGGACTAGGAAACACTTTGAATGAAGTGTTGAATCACATGTGATTGACCTAAAGGGTGTGGAATGGCACTAAAAAGAGTTTACTACCATTGGTTTACGGAAAAAGGGAGTTTACGCTCAGAAACTCATGGTCAAACATGCATAAGTGTTTGTTTGAAGACTAGGGAAGATTGACAGACTTTTGCTCTACTGGAGGATGAGAAAGACCAAACCAATGGAGGA